CGACCCAGGTCCGACCCAGGTCCGACCCAGGTCCGACCCAGGTCCGACCCAGGAAGCGCTGAAAAAAAGGCATGTCCAATCACAACACTTTCTTTCGAAAATCTGAATTCTGCTTCCCGTCGCCCGGAGGCCGACCGGCAGCCGATCCGGCGCCCTGGGCAGGCAGAGACCCCGCGGCTCCCGGCCCGGTACGCCCGGGCCGGCTCCCGAGCCGTCGCCCGGGGCGCCGGAACATCAAGTTCCGAGGGTCGAGGCGCGTCCGAAAAAGGCCATTCCAATACACACTTTTCTTTCGAAAATGCTTGATTTCTGCTTCCGGCGCCCGGGAGGCCGTCCGGGCCGATTCCGGAGCCTGGGCTGGCACCCGGCTCGGCTCCCGGCCCGGTCGCCCGGGCCGGCGCCCGAGCCGGCGCCCGGGCGCCGGAAAATCAAGTTCCGAGGCGGCGCCGAAAAAAGGCCATTCCAATACACATTTTTCTTTCGAAAATACTGAATTTCTGCTTCCGGCGCCCGGGAGGCCGTCCGGGCCGATTCCGAAGCTCGGGCCGGACTCCCGGCCCGGAACGCCGGCCCGACCCAGTCCGACCGAAGCCCGACGCAGGTCCGACCCAGGTCCGACCCAGGTCCGACCCAGGTCCGACCCAGGCCATAGCCAGGTCGCTCCAGAGCCGACCCAGGGTCGACCCACCTTGCCGCATTGCTGAGTGACTTCTCCTTGGAGCGCGCATAGTCTTTTACTCAGCATTAGCCCGTGCGCGTCGGTTTACCAGGGAACGCCCGCTTGGAGGACGCACGACAAGGATTTGTGTTCCCCAAAAACTGTACAGCGCTTTCCTCGCGAACAGCATGGGCCTGTCCGCTCTAGCGCTTCCATGCATTGCTGCTGCGTCGTGTTGCTGCCACTTTTTCCTCTTTTTTCTCATGCGCGCGGACGGAAGTGCCGACTGGTGGGTTCACCGATGACACGCAAGTGTTCGCGCTCCCGCACGCGACTCACAGCAGTATACCCCCAGCCAGCACAGGACCAGTTCTCAAGGACAACAATAGCACGGTCCAGTGTGGCGCCCTCCGCTTTGTGCACGGTCATCGCATAACCAGCACGCAGGTCGAAGCACCCTCGCCTTGCACTTCTCCCCGTGGATTCATTGAACACTTTCTCGTATCTCCGCCAGATCATCTCCACCCCAGTGGCGGTCTCTATCTCAACGCCACACCCGTGTATTCCTCGGACTCTACCTGGAGTTCCATTGAACAATCCTGAATCTATATACAAGTTGTACGTGACGTCAACTTTCATCCCGCGTTTCAATTTCAGATACCCATACTGGCACTCGCCCATCCACACTTGGACTTCTCCCAGGTAATCCCCATCATGCCATTCGAAACCCATGGAATTGACGAAAGCCGCGGACTCCAGAGTCGCGGTGAGCACCGTAGCATCTGGCCACTCAGCCCACACCTTGGCAAGAGATCCCGCTTCCAACCTGTTCGACACGATGAGGCCGTCGAAGAACTGGTGCAAGATTGCTTCCGACACACATGCTTTTCTCGCTTGCCCTAAAAAGGCGGTCAAGCGAGGATCGCTGGTGCGCATGTTCTCCGTCAGCTCCCACACGTTCACCGAGCAGAAGAAAGGTAGGTCGCGAGCATCACCATCGCCAGATGGAGGTCCAAGCTGCCCGAAGTCACCCTCGAAAAACAAGGTCGCAGCGAAACCACTCCGCCTCCAAGCAGATAGGATTGCTTCCACGGCTGGCTTGTCCAACATGTTAACCTCTCCCACCACCCAGATTGGGTAGTTCGCAACAAAATCTCGATAAAAAACTGTCTTTTCTCGGATACCAAAGGCGCTTGCCACAGTCATCTCGGTGACTCTGTCCCGCTTCTGCGCCGAAGCGACGAGTTTCCCCGTAGGAGACACACGAAGCACATGCAGGCCGAGGGACACGCACTCTGAAATGATACAATCCAATAGGTACGTTTTACCTGTCCCTGGCTTCCCCGTGACAAACCGGGCCCAAGGCCGAACACCCTCGACCTCGGTCTCGTCAGCCATGTCCGCTCTGCGCTGAATTGCACTTAGTGCTCTCTCGAAGAAATCTTGCTGCAGTCTGTTCAGGTCATACCCTCGCCCCATCTGCACTTTCAAAGACTGTGTTCGTGGAACAAGTCCGGCGCGCTGCCGTTCAATCAGCTGCAGCCTCGTCTGTATCCTGCTCCACACTGTGCACATGTAATCTGCTCTGTGTCCCTCCGAAGAAAGATACTCTGATACCCAGCCGTGCTGATCCCATGTCCCAGAAGCCATCTCTACAGCAGCACACAAACATTTCAGGCTTGAGTGCACCTCCCACATGGCTGGTGGCATCAGTTCGAGCACCGAGCGGAACGGCACATTGAGTAGCATCCACTGCCAGAAGAAGTCATCCGACAGGAACCTCGCGTACTGAATCCCCACGGCTCGAAGAGCAGACCTCCGGCGCGCGTGTGGACGTTTGTACTTGTCATACCCAACCTGCCACTCTCTCAGCCACTCTAACAACGTCACCTGGTCGAAAGACCTCCCGCGGGACATGTACGCATTCACTGAGTCGTCGGGCTCGTCTCTGAAGTAAGGGGGGCGGTATTGCGTTGACTCGACGTTCGTGAAAGCCATATTGCCTCGCTGCAAGACCATTGCCATCTCGCAAGCTCCCGGTTTCCAGTTTGATGCCACACCCAGAGCAGCAGACCACCCAGTGGAAGCAGAGTCTACCCAGTGACTCTGCCAGGATTCTGCATATTTACTTACGTAACCACCGACGTAGCGCAGCAGTGGGGCAGACGTATGCCACCACTGCACATCGGAGGTGCACCTGAAGATCCTCAATACCGCTTTGATACAGGGTCGCAGGCACAACTGATGGAACTGAGCGGTCTTCCGTAAAGCCAGATACCAGACACGTTTCCCAGCATCCCACACGTGAGCAGATGCGGATTCGTTTATCGGAGCATGGTCCTGATCATTGCTGCGTTGAACTTTACGTAGCAGGTCGTCTAGCTCTGGATCCTCAGGATGCAACTCGGCAGTCAGAAGAGACTCGAGCCCCACACGTCGGACATCGGCAAGCCAGAACAACGCATGCACGTGAATGCTGCAACGACCTTTCCCGTACTCGTGATGACGACCCCCATCTTGGTATTCCAATCGACCGTAGTACGCACGCACAGGATTATCCCCACCCTCCTTGTCTCCCAGCCAGTTGTGGCGCCAACACTGACTTCCAGTGTGCCCTGCCAGAAACCCAGCAACCAACGTCTGCAGCGCATGCGCAATCGCATACGCTTCAGGTGCTGCGTAACCCGTCGGCTCCACACCCAGACTCGCTTGAGCACGTCCCAGCCAGTACGGAAACGGCATCGACCACTCATATGGACTCACAGTAAGAAACAGATGGGGGTAACCGTGCATACGAACCACGTCCAACAGAACTCGGTGGTGAGACTTCCAGTACTCCGGCGCCCAATGTCTGGCTTTCATCGCCAGCGAAGCCTTCCGCTCGTTCGTCTTCGCCAGGAGAGCCTGGTGCATAGTGTTGCGAAGGATGTAACGGTCAAACTGGAACTGCAGAAGGCTATAGTCTTTCCCAAAGTCCAGCAATGGGGACAACACTTTTCGCACGAACGCGGCTTTGAGTGAATCGTACTTCCCCGAGCCCGAAGAGTTGTCTGCTGCAGCAGAGCGCGACTTCTGAAACGGGTCTGCCCAAACCTCAGGAGCGATCATATGTGATTCACACATCTCAGGAGTAGGATACAAGTGCGGCCACAAAGCGGATTCCAGGTAGCACTCCAGGAGTGCGGATGGGGGCAAGGCCAGAGACCCTCCCTGCTGCAACCGTTCACCAAGATGCCTGTGGAAAGCAGCGTACGCAAAATTGTTTTCCAAAAGCCACCGACGTGCACGTAATCCCATCTGCCTGTCACCTTGTGGTAACGACTGTAGCTTGCTTTCCACTGTTGACTTAGCCCAGGACAGGCTGCTGAGACGATCTTTCCGCATGTAGCCGTTCCTGTGCTTCTGCGGGTTCCCCTGGTGCAATTCCACTGGGCGCAGTGCGAAGACAACACTGCTGGGCAGGTTTCGAAGACACTCTGGAACGCTTTCCCTGGTCGGCACAATGTACTTGTCCTTGTGCTTCCCGTGAGCACACTGCCAGCACGGCTTGTCCAACTTTGAAACACAGGACTTCAGATTCAGGAGTTCACTCTGCTTTAAGTCCCTCGGATATCGCACTCCGCACTCCCGACACACTCCCCAGGAACCGAATCGAAGCCATCCGAGGAAACTCAGTTCTTTGAAACTCCACGCGCCAGTATCCAAAGAAGTCCACGCGGGTGCAACACGTCTTCTGATCGAGACCCCCGTCGAGGTGGCAACGCACCCGACAACCAGGACGGTCGATATCAATGAATCCCAGACAGCAGTGTAATCACCCGCGTCATGGTACCCGTCTGATCCAAAACAAACTCGTCGGCGCTTCGGAGCCATGCCAAGCTACTAGAGCCGAACTGGTTTGAACCAGGATGACTACGGACTGACATAGACATCCACCTTGCCGCATTGCTGAAAAGACCTTTCTAGGCGTGCGTAGTCTCTTATTCAGCATTCGCCCGCGCACGTCGGTTTCCCAGGGAGCGCCCGCTTGGAGGACACACGGCAAGGATTTCTGCTCCCCAAAAACTGTATGCGCCATCCTCGCTACCCGCAAGAGCCAGGCAGCTCCGGCGTTTTGCACCACCCTCACTACCCGCGTGGGCCAGGTAGCTCGAGAGATGCAATGCTATGTATGCCTGCTGCTGTTGCCGCTTTTTGCTGGGAACTTTTTGCCATCGCGCGACAGAGCGCACGAGTCGAAATCTGGAGAAGAGCTGCAAGAGTAGCGTGTTCATAGCCTCCCGACGAGATTACAGCAAGTCATGAGAGAGTAGCACAACTGGGAGCACGAGCACTGGCCAGCTCAGAGCTCCCTGATCTTCGCCTTCACCTCCTTCACCACCCGCTTCACCTCGGAGGGAGCGACGACAGTATTAGCACCCGCGCCTGCAGCGGTATAGTTCTCTGGAACTCCGTGCAGAGCTTCTTGAATGACCTGAGCTTAGACTCCTGGTCCCCACCCCATTTCCGCTTCTGAGGCTTGAAATACTGAATCGTATTCCACTCTTTCTTCAGAGCATCAATGGCATCGTCGCCTGGAGCCTCCGGGTCAGAGTCGGAAAACACGAGTGCGGCAACTGGCGCGGAAGCAGAAGCGGACGGAGCAGTCGCGACTCGCTTTGTTGCACGAATACTGTGCCCAGCGAGCGTTTCTGCCACAATCCATGTCTTCAGCTTCGCCATGGACTCGGGATTCTGCAGCATATCTTTTGCTTCACTCTTTGCCTGCAGGTCCATGCCCTGCATGTGTTTCGGAACATGCCCTGGCTCAGTGAGTGTTGCAAGTGTAGCCATCCAAGCACCATCCACGTACAGGCAAGAGCCCCTGGCGAGGATCTCAGCCCAATACGCCCAGTCTGCCCGGATTGCGTTGGAGCATTGCATTATGTTCTTCACTGCTTTGATCATGTCACCCTCCGCCCTCGGTTCGTTGGGGAAATCTTGGTCGTTCAGCAGCCTGCCTGCTGTTAGCAGGTCATATCGATTGCGAAGGTCCGTCCACTTCTCCAGAACTCTCGGATGCAAGATCTCGCGGCTGACGCTCTCGGTGACGAAAGTATCGAAGTGGTGGAGCGAGCCCCCTAACTCCGACAGCCACACCACGATCCTGCTTCCATTCAACTGCTCTGTTGTCCGAGCGGACTGCTCGGAGGCGAAAGCGGCTGGAGACTGAAGAAATTGCGGCTTTTTCAAGCACCCGTACATGTTGTCTGAGCCAGACTCGGTGGTGCCTTTCCGAGGGAACTTCATAAGTGTATCTGTCTTCTTGTGGAAGACCATACTGTCCCAGACGATATC